TTTTCCCACTTGAGTGCTTTTATTTAAAAAATGGCGTCAAAAATCAAAAAATGACCTCTCTAACGAAAAAATCGGAGCAAGTTACTAGGAAAAAACATGTCTACAGACTAAAAAAAAAAAAAGATAAACATCTTCGTAAAACCAATAACTATCAAAGTTTTGAAGTTGGCTCACCGGTCGTCGAATCCAGTTGTTTTTCTGATGGATTGTTATTAATATAATAATTTACAAATTTCCTCAACAATAAAAAATTCATTTTTTTACTGTGTCTTCATTATTTTTTTATGTGTTATTGAAATTTATTTCAGTGCTTTAGATGACATATAACTAGTTCTAAAAGTACTATTACAGTGGTAGTGTTAATTGAAGAAATCCATCAGGATTTAGGTAATCATAATATTAGTAAAACTATCTCCCGTCACCAATGGGGGTTGTAAATATTTTCCCCTAATTCTATAATTTTTTCTGATTGAAAAAATAGGTTTTTTTCTTTCATTATTTTAGGACTTATGATTTTTTTTAAATTAACTAGTTTAAAAAAATCAGTTTTGGCTCGAATTAAAATGTGTCTTACCAAATATTAGTTATACTAAGGTTACCATATTGATAAGGACGTCTCAATAACGTTATTAATCAATAATGTATTCTAAACCAGAAACTGGGTAAGACACACTTGATTCCCGCCAATAACGATCATTTTGAATACTTTTCAATTTATTGATTTTTAAACTCAATTTGTAAAGAGTTAAAAAGTCGAAATGAAAAATCCATTTCATTTCTGAGCTCACCATTTTCATAAAATTAAGATTTTTGTATTTAATCAAACATTTTTTTTTTTTGACAACCCCCATTACTTCTAAAAATATGAAGCATACTTGACAGTTGAAGGCACACAGATCAGTGTTATGACCGTACCGTTATATAAACATGTTTATAAAAAAAATAATAATTGTTTTATAAAATATACACAAAGATTATAGCTGTATTTAACATAAAATGTACACCATTTAAACTTTCCCTGTCTGTATAAATAGTGTCTATATTGTATTTTAATTACAATGCATAGATTTTGATACCCGTCAATGAATACTTTAAATGAATGACTTAATAACAAAGGACATACTTCGCACGTGGGTGCACCTACTATTGTAGTTGGGAAGTTGGGAAGGTATGATGTAGAAGAGAATAAATTTATACCAGTATGTATTAATAGTAACCATTGCAAACGAAAAACGATTCTTAGCGAAATTCAGCTGTACAAAAACAAAATTAAATAATAAAAGCATTATTTTAGTAAATTTTCTCGGTTTTCAAAATTTTTCTCAATTTTCCTTAAAAAATTGAAGAAGTACCATACTAAGAAAATTACTTTTCAGAAAAAATACTACACTTACTACATCGGAGCAAGATTTCTGGTAGATCAGTTATTATTTGTTTACCAGGATACCAGGACAATTTTTTTTTTAAGTTGCCATTCAACTAGTTTTTTTACAATATAAAAGAATGTGCCAGGTATTGAAAGTTGAAATTATAAAAAGACATATCCTTGATACCCACACCAAGCATACATAAAACTATATTTTCTTGGCTTCATTTAGGTGGTTTGCTTCTCCCAAACAACAATGATCGCTTTAATCCACCTATAAAAAAACTTATAACCACCAAGTTTATGCGCATTTAGTTAATAGGAAGCCGCTAAAAGTGTCCAAAAGTACTGAGAATAGATACATATAATATGTAATAGACACAATACGGTTCAATGGCCATTATTATTAGAAATTATTTATATAAGAGTACAGTGCAGTCATAATACTGATTAGTGTGCCTTCAACTGTCATATGTGGTAGAAATAATTGGTGACAGAAGATTGTTTTACTAATATTATTACCTAAATTCTGATGAGTTTCTTCAATTAACACTAGCACCGTCTTAGTACTTTTAGGACTAGTTGCATGCCACCTAAAGCTCTGATATAAATTTTAATAACACATAAGAAAATAATGAAAACACTAAAAATATTAATGTACGAGAGAATGTAATATACAGGCAACGGTATCTATCAGTTGTTAGTTGATACGTCCATATTATGTGACAACGGTCATATTCCGCTAGAGTGCTCTTGAAGTAGTCCCTACTTAAATACAAAACTGTCAATATGACGTCTTAATTAATTAATGGAGACAGATGCAGCCACTATTATAGATAATTCAATGTATAACTGTAAGCAACGATAAAATACAAATATAAAAATAAAAAAAGTCATACTTGTATAAAAAAAAAGACGATAAACCATTGTTTACAAAAAAAGATTCTAAGTGGAGTTCAGTTGATGGTGATGCTTAGTCAACAATATATATATATATATATATGTCATTTTGTAATAAAATCATTAAATAGGCTTCATATATTTTCTTTGTAATAATTTTTTTATGCTGTATCGAATTTCCCAGTTTTCCTATTTTCCCATATTTATCCCGGGTTTTCAAATTTGATAAGAAAACCCCAAAGAAAATCGAAAAATTACTTCTCTCTACACACCCATTTTCTTTTAGAAAAAGCGCTACACTTAAAAATCTGAGCGAGTCTTCTGGTAGAGAAGTTGCGCACAGATAAAAAAAAATAAACATCTTTATAAAACCATAAGCTTCTTCACTCCACTTGAGAATCTAAAAATGAATTTTATATTCTTGAGGAAACTTATAAATTATTACATTAATAATAATCCATTAGGAAAATTGCGAGTTTCGACGATATTGGACGAAGTAGAATAAACTTCATAGAAGTAATAAGCTTAGTAAAAATAATAAAAAAATATCGCGAAGTCCACTTTTTTCATTAATACTTAATTCAAATTCGTTACGAAAGATGTATACTTTAAGACAATAAATAGCTTTAACCATTCACTTTGCATGGTGAATTGCACCGGGGACATGGAAAAGCGTCTTATTATTTAGTTCATCACCAAGAAAACTCATTGTTTACTCGAGTAACTCCTTGTAATCGTTTTGAGGTTAGACAATTTGCATGTTATTTTACAAACTGTAAAATTCTTAATTCTAAACCTTTTGAAAAAATATTTTTGGATATTGTAGGACCTTTACCAACAACTATATCAGAGAATAGTTATATTTTAACAATGCAAGACTAAAAAAAAGAAGGTTGAAATTTGAATATTATAATTTAAGGTTTTTTTCTGTATTACAATATGATTTTAAACAAAAATGAATTTATTCAACTTAGATTTATATTATTAATTATCAGGGCTTGGATTTATATTTAATTACATATTTTTATTAAAATATGATAAATAAATTAAGATTAATAAAATTAATTGTAATTCAATGTTAAATTTTCTAAAAGGAAATTTCACTTTGTATGTACTTTAGAGCTGTACATACTAGATGGACGCCAAATTTCAATTGTTTACCGTGTAAAAAAACTTGCTGTACTGTACGTTTTTTCAAAAGAGAACATATCGCTTTTGCGAAGGCTGACTGCCGCGCCAAGACAAATTTCTCCCACTGTGTCGAAACAATGCAACGATCGTGCAAGACGGTCGCCCACTAAAACTCTCCGACGAGTATACACCGATTTCAAATGAATTGTTTATAATTAATGATACCTGACCGGCGCGGTGCACGGTGCGAACGGTTGTCAAAGAATCAGCGCGTAATCTGCACGTATATTTCAATTGATATTATTATTATTTAAATGTAGCGTAATAATAATAACAATTATTAAAATAACTACTTAATACAATAGGTACATTTTTAAACGATAGTTTTTACAATAAAAATTTACAATTCATAATATAAGACATATTTTAACATAATTGTATTCACAACAGTACATCACATGTCTTACCACAGCGTGGCGTGTGAAACCTTTACGATTAGCGCAAGAGTCAACGTGTGTATTAAAGTTGTGATAATTGGTACCGGCTATATGAGGGTTCGCAACGAGCTGTCAGCGGAGCGCGCGCGTCGTGACCGGTGCTACCTAGTGGGGACGCGCGACGCCACGGAACGAAAACTGGTCGCGAAAGCAGCGTGTTCTCCCGTGTTAACAACTCTGTAGTACTTGTTGGGTCCCGGAAAAAAAATGTTTTCCTTCCCTCTATTACAGACCTAGCGCTGTCTAATAACGTCTAGTTACAGGTATGGTTAAAAACGTTTTTTTATTTTCGTGATTTACAATTGTTCGTCATCTAGTTGTTAAAATTGTTTTCAATTAATAATTGGGTTGAGATTTATAACATACAGATTTAATGTGTTAAATATGTTATGTATAACGAGTATCTATATCATTATATATTTTGAATATTTTTATTTCTACAGTTCAGATAAAATGATTGTGCTGGATAATTATCGACTATACAGTATGACGTTTGACAACATGGCACAATCCAGGTTTATATTTTAGTAATCTTTAATTCTTTAATCTATCGAAAAGCATACCTACCACTTAACACGTTGAACGCCAACGTCGATCTACATGCGGGTGCCTGTAGCCGCGCGTATAATTGGTATAATTTGCGCGTGTCAACACCGCGTTGACACCGGCCATGGGCGCCCGTTTTCAGTAATTTATAAAAGTAAGCAATTTCTAATTTTTTTTTTTCAAATAACTACTCATAATACTTATATTCATAATCATAAATAAATTATTATTATACTTTCAAAATATTTTAAACAAACAAATCAAAATATATTTTTACCTCAAAATTATACAATTTGTATAATTATAACACTGTATACAAAAAAATAAAGTAAAAACATAACTTTAAAAATATTTAAAAATAAAACAAAACATATCTTTTAGTTTGAAATTATACACTTTGGTAAAATAATAACACTGTGTACACAAATATAAAATAAGAACAAAACTTTAAAAATAAAACAAAACATATATTTTACTTTTTATACCTAATAATACAAATTAATACGTAAAATAATAATGAAACTTATAATGTTTTATAAAACAAATCAAAACTAACTAGATTATGCGTGATAAATTTCAAAACAGTTTTCAATGCATAAACCAGGTTGACCTTCACAACTGGAACAGTAAAATATTGTTGTTTTTCGTATGCCTTTTGAATGGCACAGCTTGCATCTTTTTCTATAAAAATTTTTTTTTTCGTTTTTTGCAACTTTTGTAGGAAAGTGCGAGTTTGTTATTTTTGGAGGAAGTGCAAGAGGAACATTTGTGTTTATTTGACTTTTTACTAATGCTGTAATTACAGAAAGTCTAAAAACATACAGACTACATTTTTTTTACGTTTTCTACGTATATGTAGTAAGAATTTAGCAACAATAATTGAAAAAAATGAATTCCAATCTTTTTGTACCACCTTATTGTTTTTCTCTCGCATGGATAGTATGATAACATCTGGTCTTGTCTATCAATTCCTGACATATATTTATTGTACATAGAAATTGCCATCGGTTTCAATTTTTGTTCACCTCTTCTGTTGGTTACTTCAACTAAATCATTTGTGTACTCAGAGCTTATTGCTAAAACTTCTCGTCTGTCTCGCCATTTCATTACACATACGCCTTCCTTTGTATACTTTCCAATACTTTCTCNTTTAGGGTTCCCTTTTCTATTCGCACGCAAAGTTCCTGTACAATATGTTCCTTTACCTAGAAGTGTATGAGCTAGTTTCACGCTATTGTCATAGTTGTCCATGTACAATGATCTGCCACAATCAAAAAGGCCTTCCATTAATTTTACAACAACATATTCTGTATGAGTAGTCATTCGACGTGTCTTGCCCTTGTCCTGAGTATACCATAATTCTATGAACCAACCCACCAGATTCTGTGAGCATGTAAAGTTTGATACCATACTTATGGCGTTTATTTTTAATATATTGCCGGAAAACTAATCTACCCCGAAATAAAACCATTGACTCGTCGAGTGACAAATTTTCAGAAGCTTCATAAATATCTGTCATTTTATTATTGAAATATGTTACAATTGGTTCAATTTTATTCAGGCGATTATTGTCACGATTTTCATTGTCAACAAAATGTAAATTTCTTAAAATTAACATAAAACGATTTCTGCTCATATATTGTCGAAAAAAAATAATATTGAACAACTCACTTGTCTTCCAATAATCTTCCAACCGATTGAGTCGTATAGATCCTGTATGAAACAGTTTCATTTCTTGTATATTTGTATCTTTCCACGCTGTAATTCGAGATGATGAACCTCCAGATTCAGATAAAAAAACTCTAACTGCATTTTTATTGGTTTCATTAACTATCAACTCGAAAAGTCTGTCGTCGAATAATAGATTAAAATAATCAATCGGCTTATTTCCTTGTGGAAAAACCTTCAATCCTTTGGATTTTGAAAAAGGGATACGTGTCACGATAGGTTGTCTATTACTCCATGTATAACCCGATGTAGAAGTAATAGGTACAGCTGATATAATCTCATTATCCTCTTCGGGTTGTACTATTGGAAGTGACCATTCTGGATCGGCTTCATCATCACCAGAACTTAAGCCGAAATCATCATCTGAATTTTCCAACATACGTAATAATTCTTCGTCGGTCATTGGGTTGCCCATTTTTCTTAAAAAAAATATTCAAGTTAGATAATATTTTACATTTTACGTAATTATACGACTAAAGAAGGTCATAAGTATTTATCGATAGTATATAATTATAATTTAATATTGTAAATAAACTCCAAAAATTTCGAAAAATTATTATTTTTTTTTAAATATAAATTTATATATAATATTATAATTATATATATCTACTGTATGAAGATTATAATTGTATTAGTAGATATATTATAATATAACTATCCAAATGTGAAAATAATGTATGAACTTGTATAAAATAAAACTTACCTTTTATTCATTTTTATTTCATATAACAGTATAAATTGTAAATAAAATATAAAAATGACGAAAAATCAAAACCAACTGTTCCGCGTAATAAACAATACACTAATGAATGGCTGACCAAAATTTCGAATGTGTATAGCTATAGCCGACTTCACAAAGTCACAATAACGGACAGGTTACCGCATGTCAACGACGCATTGACGTTGGCGTTTAACGTGTTAATTTGTTTTTTTTATATTCATTACAAATATTAGGTACCTGTCGTCTTGCTGACAGGCGATTTTTCGTCGTTTTTAGATGTCACATTATAATAGACAAAGAAATTTAAAAAAATACAACTGAACCAAGTCTCTTAATGTTAAATAGTTGTCACAAAAAAATTTCAAGTGTAATTTTATTTTATTTCTTATTTATACTTATTTTTATGAACTCAAAGAATCAATTACAAGTCTGTTTATTATTTCTTATTTTGTTTATATTTGTCCTTATATAATTTGTTGTAGTTAAAACTGTATTAGGTATATATGATTTTTTTTAAATTTTAATTTCAAGTTCAAATTTATAAAAAAACTAAAATCAATTGTTTATTTAAAAGTTATGTTGTGTTTAATAAATTGTTCGTTTCTATTTCATTAATTTTAAATTGCAATCTTTTTTTGATGCAATTGGACCTTGGATTTTCATTTTCATCTTTTTTTTTCATTAATCACAGGCAGCACTGATTGAACTATTCAGTGATAAATGAACAAATATAATAACAATTCTCTAAATTAAATTATTTATTTGTGTTGGATACATTTTCTTTTTGCTTATTTAGAATACATGTTAAATTTATTCATTTAATTCTAGTGGGAAAACATAAGACCTTATATAATAAACAAAATATCGATAAAATCAATATTCCAGACAATGTTAATTATTTTTATCAATTCAATTAAGATTATTATTTTAATGATAATTTTTAAATAGCTAAAAACACCTGACCTATCAGAAGTCTAGGTGATTTGACTTTTAACTATTTTAAAGACTAGCTTCTTAAAATAGTGATTCCATATTTTAAAAATAAACCTGTCATTGTGGTATGATAGGTCTTCACACTTAACTATGACAAGAATAAGAGTCTGTGGGCTATGCAAAGTATAACATCTCATTTATATTTTTACTGCCAAACTCAACACACCTCACACAACTTCTAGATGTATCACTTTTACATCCATTAAAAATTGCATGGCACACAGATTAGAATTAAAGTTTTTTTTTTTTTTAAATTTTATTATTATACAATAATTATAAATATATACCAATATCGTAAGTAGTAAATAAAAAATAAACCATAAAAGTGATTAAGTTAATGAGGGGATTGATTAATGCGGAAAGTTTTGAGTTCCTTCTCACTGGTCAAATATTAACTCTAACTATAAAACATGAAATTGTAAAATTGGGGTTTAAACAAATAAAAAGCAATACAATGTACAATTTGAATGGTTTCATGCTAAGGTTATGTTTACAATTAGAACAAACAAATGAATTGATTGCATCAATTAATAAACTTATTAATATTTTTTATTTTATTTAACAAAATGCCATGAATTAACCCTATAACTTCATAAGTATAATGGCATCCGCATAAATATTATAGTCTCACAAATTGGGCATTCCATAATTTTAGACGAACATTTTTTACAGGCATATACATGCCTACAAGGGATTAAAACAGAATCCATTTTTTCTTTGCCACAAACTTTGCACATCATTTGATTTGACAATTCATCAGGACACTGTGATGAACTACACGGTAACTCGTCATCATGTTCTTGTTCTGGATCTGTATAAATTTTTATACTTATAACATAGACGAATGGTTCTCTACATAAAGCACACTGATCTATAGCAAAAGCACATGAAATACAAGTAATTGCATGTCTACACGGCAAAAAAACTATTTTAATTTCTTCCTTGTAACAAATCTTGCAAACTATATTATCAGATATTTGACTCGAAGACGATAGCGGTGGCATTATAATTTGTTTGTCTGAAGTTTTTGTAGAATTTAATTTGCTAAAATAAAACAAATTAAAGAAAACTTTAAAATACAATATTTTAAGACTTCCTTACATTCTAAAATAGCCAATAACAACTTAAATTAATTCTCTAAAAAATATATATATCTAGATATGACATCAAATGAGGATAAGAAGATTTTAATTACTACATTTTTAAACAAATATTAAGGAAAGCCCATAAAAAATTTAATATTAAATTATTATTCTGTTATTACCTTACTATTATGTCTATTTATAAAATTAAAAATATACCTTTTTTTCGAATGGAGAAAATCATAAACTCTACTCATTGGATTTGTAACTTGTTCAAGATCAGCACTGTTATTGGATAACTCCTATAAAGTAATTATAATTTAAGTTTCTAAATTTCACCATGAAATGTGAATAAACAGAAATTCTTGCCTCAGGGTTAGGAATCAATCCACACACCATATCAACAAAATATTTGCCTTTACTTAGCAATACATAAGAACAAGTTGGTGAGTTTTTAGCATGTTCTGTCCATGGTTCATCATTATCTTTAAAATCATCAAGACTTTGATTACAACAGAAACATATCAACTGATCAAGTTCTTCATCACCTAATGTATAATAAAATAACATTAATACAATACAATTACATGATATTATAATAAAGTAATATCGGGATGGGGGGAGGGGGCACAGAAGGAGCCTTCAAATTAAATTTAAAACCCACTAACTTTGTAATAGAGTAATATTCGAAATATTTTTATAAATTTACCTCCTATATGATAATAAAATCCAGCTTCACATAGAGTTTGAATATCTTGTTGTTTCATTTGTTCCTTACATTTATCAAATGTTTTCAAGCGAGCTTCAAGAGTAATTAAGTCTTCATGATGAGGTATATCAATTCCTTGTAAAATACCTAAAGATTCAATGATCTTTTGTAATATTGATGTGCCTTCATTGGTAAATAAAGAGGAAGGAGAATCATTAAGCTCATCCTCAAATGCATCATCACCTGTAAAAATAAAATCTTGACTACTCAAATCACTTATAGTACAAACCAACATTAATTTTGTATTATTCAACCCAAGCAATAATAAATCTAAAATAATCTAAAGTGTATACTAAAATTAAATTACCTAGAGAACAAATCTATAAAAATTGATACAATATAAAAACTTGATAAAAAGGTTTTTATAATATACTAAAAAGTATAACTAACATAAAATGTTGTAATATAAAAATGTACCTTCACTTTCTCTAACAAATGGACATTGTGGAGATTTTTTTTTATGTTCAATAACAGGATCATCACCACATTGCCAGTTGTCAAATTCTTTAGAGCAAAACAAACATCGCACACTATCTTGTTTACCCAAATAATATAACCCAGCTTTGGCCATTTGGTCAGGTGTAATGAAATCTAGTTTCCATCCAGCATTAAAAGTTCCCAGACGATTTTTGTAGATTTTCAAATCCCCGGTAGGTGTTTCAAAAGATATACTTGATGGCTCAGATGTACTCTCAGTAGCAGATTCAGGTAGAGGATTTGATGAGTTTGGTACAATTGACAAATCATTACTCATATTTGTTGAACTTTTGTCTCCTTTGTGAAGATCAAATAATCTTATAAAACTCGTGACGTTTGGAAAAGCTGCTATCTAAAAAAAAAAAATTAAATATTTAGATAAATTAGTTTGTTTATTAATTTAATCAACATGCCTGTAAATAAAATACTTAGATGTTAAACATAAATGATATATCTAAATACGTTATACCTATGTATTAACTTAGTTAAAAGTCCTAGATAGATTTGATAAAAAAGTTGTTCTACAGTCTAGATATACCTGTTAAAAAATATTATCACAGATATTATAAAAATAACCCGTTGTTAAATTTAATCATAGGATTATTATGAAGAAATTTTATTTGTCATTACCTTAAAACATTTATATTATATTCACTACCCAGATTATAATTTGGTTTACATATATGTAGGAACCTAACTTATTACACTAACAATATAAATAAAGGCAATTCAAAGCTCTAAGGAAAATTATTAAATAAAGAACATTGTTTAATAAAAAAAAAAAAAATTATATAATAGGACATGGTTAATTAACTTCATTAATTACTCAATCAAATGTACAGTAAAAGATTATAGAAAAAAACTCAATAGTCCACTGAATAAAAATTTGATGAGAATTTTAATAGTTAAATATGAAAAATATAATAATTATTAATTTTATCAATCAAACCAAAAGGGTATATCAATAAAAACAATAACCAATGAGGCCAGCGCTATAAAAAGAAAAACGCTATGACAATCAGCTGATAATATTAATTAAGGTTGGGCAAGTGCTCGACTTTGAAAAAATTGTCGAGTACTCGACTCGATTATAGTTTGTTTTGTAATTGTAAATTCGAGTACTCATGTTTACTTCATTGTTTGAAAAATATTAAAAACAATTGTAAAAACTATAAATATCTCTAAACCCAGATATTTTAAAAAAACTAATAAGAAAAACCCAAGGAATAACTAGAAGGAAAAATTTTGGCAGTCACAATTAGGTTAGTGCGACACAAATACAACTTTTAAAAATATTACCTATTACCTTACTTATTTGAATTTAAAAAATAAATATCTAGCGACAGATGAAAGCATTATCAATATCGTGTATGACTTCCGAATATTGGAAAATCAACTGTATCCAAAATAATATTAGAGTGTTTTGTAGAATACATTGAAAGATGAAGGGAGTTCAACATAATTTCACAACAGGAATTCGTAGTGATAAGCCCGAATTTGTATCACATTACAACAAACTAAAATTGTACTATTGTAATCTAAAAGAGTTAAAATAAGATTATTCTCAACAAAATAAAAATATTATCATCTTCTGTATAATTTTAATTCACATTTCAGCTTAATGGATGAAAGTTCTGACAATATTAATATTAATATTTCTGAGATATTAACAATGTATTTAAGGAGACAGAAGAAAAACTTTATAGACTATTGTACCTAACAAAATAAAAATGTTGTTGACTATCAATCGGTATGATAAGACATGTTGACAGTTTCGAGTAATGGAGTTGATTTAATAGAAGAAACTATGGAAGAAGAAAACTGTACAATTGAAAATCATGTAGACGATTGGCTTTTAATTGAGTATAGTATTAGAAAGAAACACTACAGGGTTTGTCCGGAAAGTAATGAGCCTGATTTTTTTACTAAATTTTTTGAACATACAAGTACTACAACTTAATATTCTTCAAAATAAGACCCTTTCGCTTCAATACATTTTTGCCAACGTGATTTCCATGCTGTATAAGCTCCCTAGAACCCCTCTTCCGAAATAATGTTCAGTAAGGTCGTCGTAGTAGCTTGGACGTTCTCTAGGGTGCCCAGATGATGTCCTTTGAGCTCCCTTTTTAGTCGAGGAAATAAAAAGATGTCCGCTAAGGCTAAGTCTGGACTGTGGGGTGGCTGGGGAATCGTTCGACACCAATCCGAGTCAATTAGGAGGTGACAACAAAGGCTGTGTGAGACGGCGCATTGTCATGATGCAGTCTATATGACGCTCGGACCTCTTTTCGGATGCGGGTGACTCTGTGATTCAGCCTTTGAAGCACTTCGTTATAATTCAATAATTCCAACATCATACGAACACTCATTCGTCGGTCTGTGTTCAACAATTCGCGCACACGAGTGAGGTGTTCATCCGTTCGTAATGTTGATGGGCGTCCAGAACGAGCCTCGTCGGTGATGTCTTCCCGGCCTTCCTTGAACGACTTGTGCCACTTCTTTGCCTGCGAATTCTTATTCGAAAGCAGCATGGAAGCGTCTCCTAAGTCTATTTTAAGCATGTCAAATGTTTCCTTTGGCATTTTGATGAGCTTGACACAAAAGTTCACCGCATAACGTTGTTCTAAAAATGTTTCCATCTTGACTACGATGCGGTCACTGCACAGAGGTTCTCGTAAAAGCACGTCTTAACTCTTCGAGAGCTAAGGGGCGACTAACCGTGACATCTTTGAATAGCTATATGTATGTATTATATTATATTTTATGTATGTACTAAGAATTATACTATTTAATATAGGTACACCGATATGTTATACATATATTGATTTATTATTGTTATATTTCAAGGTACTTTCCTGTTATACGAGACAACATTGTTTTGTGACATTATCACAATCCTGTTATCTACGACTTCCAAAGACTTTCCTGTTATAAGTGACTATGTGTATTATCGCGACTACCACAATATCACGCACTACGTTCTAGCGACGCAATTCACAATATCTATTATTACCTATATTATTAATTTTTCCTTTATATTAATTTTAATATGGATATGTGGTCTCAAGAGTGAAAAGGAAGCAGTAAGCCTGCTTCGGAACATGACATTTTACACACCCAAAGAAAATGCAAGGATGATCATAACACAAAACTATATTTTAGAAAACTCATATTTGGGGAGTCTAATACTAAAAATTGTCAATAAAAGGTAAATTTCCGAAACAACACTTGGTTTGAACACAGTAAACTTCCATTTGTTACTGTTTTACAATTTATTTATGCTTGGACTGAAGAGTCAACTTCTATAAAATGGTGCCAAAAAAATTTGAAAATAAACGAAAATACTATAAGATTCAGTCTATGATAGTCTATACTATAGACTGGAATAACTATTTGTAAGAAGTTTGTGTTCTTAGTATTGAGTAGTATTCTTAGTATTTGTTGATAAACAAAAGTTTATTTTCTAAGCGCAAAAATAATACAAGCATAATACTACCACAACAATGGATTTTTGGAGGACTATATCGTGAAATTAAAAGAATGTTATTTGGTCCAGATTCCTGATATTTATATAAAATATAAAAAAGAGCACAACTCATTCAGATTGCGCCAACAACTCTAGCGAACTTGAAAAAGCTGGATTTAAACATTTGACAGTAAACCACAGCAAAAACTTTGTAGATCCTCAAAGTGAAGAACACACCCAAATGTAGAAAATCTCTGCTAATCAGCAAAATGGCAGAACAAAAAACATCACAGCACAGGGCATCATTATCTAAAATCATATTTAGCTGAATTCATATGAGACAAAACGTAAAAGAATGTAAATTCACCGATATTCTAAAAACAATAAAGATCCAATTTCCTTCAATATTTTATTAATAATGAATAATGTTAAAAAACTTAATTTTTTATAATTTCCATTTGTTATTGTAACTGTTTTTTTTTTTTTTGTTAATAATAATAAATGATGATGATAATAATGATTACTGTGTGTTTATCTTATCTTAATTAAATTTTTTTATGCATAAATAAAAATACTTGTGGAAAAAAAAATGTAAATAAAAATAAGGTATTTTGTGATATTAAGGAAGTGGGCAAATTTTGATAGTCTTAGATAACAGGATTGTGATGTTTCTCAAAACAACTGCAGTGGCCACGATAACGGAGGTAGTCTTGGAATATAATCGCAATAATAGACTTAAGCCGAGTTGCATTAACGATCGTTAAGGATTTAACTGACAATTAGCGGTTTTAATAACTCGTTAAAAATATTTTGTTACAAAAACATTATCTAACTTTTAACCGGACATTAAGGTTTGGTCTTAAGGGTCCATTAGTTAATCACTTGATTATAGCTCGCTAAATGTCAAGACTCGTTATATTGTAGGATAACTATAGTACGCATAAATTAACTGAGAGAAAAAGTAACAGACACACGACAACCGTGCATGCATACAGTTGATTGTTTTCTAGTAGACCAAAAACTTGATAAAGATATCCAGAAGTAGATTTTTGGTCATCAATATCGGCAAAATCAGCATCAACAAAACTTTGAAGTGGATGTATATTATTGTTCTTAATGTAGGTCATTCCAAAAGAAATAGTGCCCTTTAAATATCTTAATACTCTTTTCAAGTGATTAAAATGATCTTCAGTGGCTTTAAATTGATGTCGGCTAAAATAATTAACTGCTGTACTGAAGTCTGATCTGGTTTGAATCATCACATACATCAAACATCCCACAAGTTCACGATATGGTTTACTTGTTGATCCTTTTTCTTCAAATTTTAATTTCTTTTCCATTGGTGTTAATATTCGTTTACATTTATTCATACCAAATTTAAGTAGTAGGTTTTCAAGATATTTTATTTAACTTATTTTTAAAATATTATTATGTCGTTCAATTTTAATTCCTAAAAAAGATCTTCATTCCCTTGATCTGTTAACTTCAATTCTTCACTAAATAGTTTTCTTAAATTGTTTACTTCTTTTATTGAATTATCAGCTACCAACCTATCTTCTACATACAACAATAAATACAAATTATTGTTATCATTCAATTTTACATACAAACCATACAAACATTGATCGGATTTGCTTCTTGTTAAACTTTGTTGACCAACGAAATTATTAAAACATTTATTCCAACAATTTCAAGATTGTTTAAGACCATAGAGTGATTGTATACCTATACATAGTTTGCAAACAAAACCATTTTCTTGGTCAAAACCATCAGGTTGTTTCATGTAAAGTTCTTCCTCTAAAATACCATTGAGAAAAGCTGTAGTCATATCCATCTGAATGAGGTGTAGATTTCTTTGATTTACTATTGCAAGTAGGGTTCGTATTGTAATGAAATTAACTACAGGTGAGAAGGTATCAGTATAATTAAAACCTTTTATTTGTGTACATCCTTTAGTTACTAATCTAGCTTTGTATCTTAATGGATTCTTCATCCAACTTTAATTTGAATGTCCATTTATTTTGGGGTTTTGGAACCAGTGACCATGTATTGTTCTCTATTAAAGCGTCCATTTCTTCTTGCATTACTTTCTTCCAACAATTTTTATCTGGGAGAACTTGAACTTCATCAACATCTTAGGATAAATTTTGTTTATAATTTTCTGCTGATAAAGCTAACATTGCCATATAATAATCTTTAAAATTTTTTAGTTGTTACTTTTCTTTTAGGTCGTGTACTTTTGTTATCTTCCCGTCTTCTTATCTTCATGGTGATATCTTTGGTCTCTTCTTTATGCTCATCTTCTCTATCATTTTCTTCTTTTTCAGATTCATCTTCTCTTATATTTACTTCAGATATTTTGATTATCTTGCATTCTGTTTTCATTAAAAATTACATCACAACCTACTTCTGGTTTCAGGATCCCATAATCTATAACCAAATTTAGCAAAACCAACCATAACACTTTTTCTTGATTTAGAATCTAATTTACTTCTAAATTGCTTAAGTATGTGAGCAAACGCAAAACACCCAAAAATAGAAATGTTTGATAAATTTGGTTTATAATCATTCCAAAATTCTGTTATTATCTTACTTGAATTTTTAGATGTTGGTAATATATTTAGTAAATATGTGGTTGTGTGAGCTTCTTTACTACACATTTCTTTAGATAACCCTGATTGAAATAGTGACGATCGGGTCTTTTCTATAATTGTACAATTAGTTCTTTCAGCTCAACCATTCTGCTCAGGAGTATGTGGAGCAGTATGGTTCACAACAATTCCTTTTTGTGCACAAAAATTCTTGAAATTGTTAGATGTGTATTCGCCTCCATTATCACATCTTAATGATTGAATTCTTTGTCCAAAATGTACACTTACAACTGCTTCATATTTTTTTAAGTAGTTAAGTACTTCACTTTTATTCTCAAGCAAATAAATTAAATCGTGTATAATCATCAATAAATGTTAAAATGTATTTCATACCGTTCTAGAATATTGGACTAATTGGTCCACATATATCACTATGTATCAGTTCTAATGGAGTGGTTGTTCTATTTTTTCTTAGAATGAGTTGTTAAAAGGTAAAAGGGCTGTCTAGTCTGTTTGCTCTCCATACAAACTTCACAAATTGTAGGTAGTTCCTTTCTATTGAATTGAACTCCAAAAACAATATTATTCAGTTTATTCAAATAATCTATTTGGATGCCCCATTCGTTTATGCCATAATACTCCATTAATGTTTGCCTTGACACAGCTGTTGACATTAATGCTATTGTCTCAAGTAAAAATTAATTTGTATAGTGTATGGATTCTTTTAGCTATTGCTATTACATTTTAATTTGAATTCAACACATTTGCTTGTCCTTTTTTAAAAAAAATTTAAAAACCAAGTTCTTCAACTTTACCAACAGACAACAAATTATACCTTAAATGTGGAACATAAACATTTATAAATTTACATAAAATAGTCTTACCTTCTACTTGACTCTATGTATTTATTGTACCTATTTTTGTTGCGGTTAGATTTTCTTCATTTTAGCGACACCTATGATCATTGGATTTTTTAGTACTTTCAGAGATGAAAAATATCTCTCGCTGTTTACTGAATGATCAGAAATGCTTGAATCAAGATACCATGTTATTTCGTTTAATTCTTCATTTTGTTGTGTTAGCAACGTGGTTACTGGGAAACACACACTTCCGTCATCATTCTCCGAAACATTGTTAGCTGTCGGTTTTTTGTTTATACAACTCTTTAGATCTGTTATTTCTTTTATAAAACGTTTTCCTTTTAAGTTTACATTCAGCTGATTTATGCCCAACTCGATTATAATTATAACATTTAAAAGGAAATTTGCCAGTATTGTTTACATTAAACGCTGCACTATCAGAAGAAGACTCTTCATTTATAATACTATTACTTTTACTTCATCTAGTAAATGACCCTTTACAAATTTAACTGTATGAGTCTCTGGTGAAAGAGTTTCTAATGCTGTAACTACATTGTTGTACGTTTCAGGCATTGTAAGTAGTAGATGACAAACAATATCCTCGTTCCCTAGTTTAGCTCTTGCAAACCTGAGTTGTCATATTATCTCATCAAACTTCACAAAATGACTTTCTAAATTTATTTCACCACTATATTTCATAGTCAATAATCGCCTTCTCAAATACAATAGACTGGCGACCCCTTTTTACTCAAAAGGTTTTAATAGTGAATTCCAAATTTCTTTTTATGTATTCTTTCCCATCACATATTCTAAATGATTATCAGCAATACATTGAACTATAAGTGACTTACATTTATTGTCGTATTTACACCATTTTTCTTTGTCTTTTTCTATCGCAAACAATGAACAGTTTTCTGAAACACATTAGTTCACACCAAATTCTTCAAGCAATACTTCTACAAAGAAATTTCCAGTTTGGGAAATTTGTACCGTTAAATTGTGTAACTCTATACTTGTTATCACTTTTTCTGGCCATGTCTGGGCCCATAACCTATTGTAGGATAACTATAGTACACATAAATTAACTGAGAGAAAAAGTCACAAAGACACACGACAACCGTGCCATGCTTGAGTCTGTAAAAGTAGTTTTATATTTTAACAAAAGAACAATAGTCATAATATACATTTTGAGGTTATTAGTACAAATAATATTATTATCAATAAGAATATATATAACAACACGTTAAATATGTGTTATCATTAATCAGTTACAATAATTTTCTTATACATCATAGATGGTATGATTTAAAAAAAAAAATTATTTATGGACCAACTTAATCATTCAATTATTAGAATATTTATTGAATACACTATGGCTGTTTATTATGATTCATTATCTAGTAATAGTGATGATTAATTCATATTGGAAGTTTTAGGACGCTTACCTAAAACAAGGTTGTTTTGAAATAGGTCTGATCCACTGGCATATTTTGATGGTGTAAACTTTTGTTGTAAATTCCGGTAAGTAAAATTAAAATGTAGGTGTATTCAAAATTCAAATATTACTAGTTAATGGTTATTATCGATAAGTGTATATGATAACTACCTTCTGATAAGAACGTCATGATAATAGGGCAGCTGCTGTCGTTAAAATATAATAGTATATTAATTTATGTTTATTCTCCTTGAATAATTGTAAAATTGACATGACTTATTAGCAATTTAACAACCCATTCAAATTTTAAGGAACTATTAGTTAATCATACGTTTAATATTTAAGGAATGACTTCTATGGAACCCAGCAGTAGTCTCGTATAACAGGAAAGTACCCATTTCAGTAAGTATATTAGTATATTATATAAAATATTTAAATTTGAATTATTATCAATAAATTATCATCAGAACTGTGCACTGTATTATTTTTTTCTCAACTTTTTATGTTTTATACAAATATCAGGTTACAACATTATGAAACTGTGGTCGTACCTACCACAGAAATTGCATTTTTTTTTAAAAACAAACATTATTAGATAGGTACGTTAGGTACTTCGCTTTTCGTGTATTATACTGACCCGGCAGGGGCCGGACCCGTACATCGACAAACCACACGCAAAATAGGTGCAAAAACTTACGCCGGCAAAATATCTGGAGACGAAAATATAATGACTGCGGCCGATCATACAAATAATAAACGAAAGAACACGTTCTCTACCCGGAATATACACTTTTTTACATAGATTCGATTAGATTTATACTAGTATCCGCAACGGATAGGTATCGAATGATGACGCGTACGAATATAATATCGTATAGGTGCATCATAGGCAACCTCGGGCCGGGCTTCGTTCGTTGACGGGCCACAGACAATTAGACTCAAAAATTGCACCGGCAAAAAGTCGGGCGACGTACGTATCAAAAGATACGGAAATATAATCGCAGAAGCCGATCGCCTAACACACAATTGTAACGGAAAAAAACGCCACGTGCGCCGATGGCGGACGTGTAGGTACCCCGAATCTCGAGAAATCAAAACGTATAAATACTGAATAGTACTTACCTAGTTCGGTGTGCCAGCGACGCTGTCCGTACACGTTATTAATAATTGATATTACAGAGAACCGAACTGAGAAAAAAATACGGCCTGTACGGACGAGCGAATTAGTTCAGCGTTCCGTGGTCCCGAACGAAATAAATGGCGTAGGGAAACAGAAAGGCACCGCAGAGAGCGCAGACGCCCGCCAGTCCCCACCCCATCACCGACGACGGTCGTCGGTCTCGCGCATTTGTTCGCAGGCGCGGACTGGGGGGGGAAGACTTGTTCGGTCGTGGCCAATACTTGCCGAGTCATCGTCATCTTTCCCCTGCAACCGCGCTCCAGAAACATTCATCAATGAGTGCGTACCGGTTGGATGATTTATACTATACCTACTATACGTACTATACGAACATACATACTGTATATAAGGTTTATAGTTAACGAGCGTTTCCGGTATTTTCCACTTGGCACATATAAGCAGTGTTGCCTGATATACTATTAACAATGTAGCTAAATATCGTCAACTATAAATTGTAATTACGAAAATTGTTATCTACTCTTATCATCCTCATTTCACCACTTTTTTTAAAAATCGGAGAGTTGGACTTGTATTTTAAAACATTCGTTTCTCGGTGTTATAAAAAAACATAGGTACCTAAGAGCAACTATAATATTACAGCAATACCGATAGTTAATTATTTTATTTGTAGTTTAAAATTGTGAATTGTGATGATATTTGCATAATATAGGTATATTATATAAATTTTATATTTCTGTGTATTCATTATTCACTTATGTGTTGGTAATGAATACCCATACGCATAGGCGCAATTTGGGGGGACTTTGAGGGGCTTAGCCCCTCCAAAAATGTGTATTTAAATTTAAGTATTAAATGCTTCATTAATTATCTAATGTACATAATATGTTAAACGTTGTTTGAAAAAAATAGTTTCTAAAATTTAAACATAGAAATAATGGAAACGAGCCCGTGCAACGACATAGTGTTAGTCATAGAAAATATATACAATATACAATATAAAATATAATATATATATAAAATATATGTATGGTGATAGCAAGGTTTATAGATTATTATTATCTATAAACCTTGGGTGTTGGTCCTTTGTGGCTTTGTGGGTATTACCCATATNAATTCAGAAAAATGGGTCTCATATACTCAGAACTTAAAATCAGGCTCTGTACACACTCAGATGGCAAGTGCATATTGTGAAAAAATATTAAAAAAATAGAGCTTACATAAAAAATCTGATTGACATAGTTTTATATTTGGGACGGCAAGGACTAGCATTCCGTGCGCATAACGAAGAAAAAACATCAATTAACCAAGGTATAACATTTTAAATTCAGTTTTCAATATTATGGGTTTAAAAATAATTTAACATTTAATAATTTATTTTAATAACTTTTATTTTTAAGATGTATCAGTAACAAAAAATGAATTTTATTTTCTATTTTTCTATTTTTATTTTTAAGATGTATCAGTAACAAAAAATGAATTTTATTTTCTATTTTTCTATTAATAGAATTCAATATTTATAATATTAAATATTATTCTTATGCCATACTATAATTTTATTGTAGGTAATTTTAAAGAAGCTTGTGTTTTACTGTCTAAATGTAATGAAGAATGTTCTACCATATTCAATGAAAAAACCAACTATACATGTTGGTCAATCCAAAATGACCTTATAAACATCTCTGCTCAAATGATAAAAAACACGATTGTCAATGAGCTGACAGAAATTGGATTTTGTAGTGTCATATGTGATAAAGCAAGGTAATATAAAAATGAAATACAAATATTGTGAACTATACTGATTGTTTTATCTTTTTAGGTGTTACAGACAAGAGCAGATGTCAATTTGTGTACATTACGCTAAGAATTTAAATGTTTATGAAAGATTTTTAGGTTTTATTAATGTGTCCGAGAATCAAAACGCAGATGCTTTGGCTACTGCTATGGTCAATTTTTTTGAAATAAATAATATAAATGTACCTATTGTAGCCCAAGCTATGATGATGCTAATGTTATGTTGGGTAAATTCAATGGAGTACAACAAAAAATTAAATCGAAATACCCGTATGCTGTATATACTCATTGTATGGCACATCGTATAAATCTAATTGTTCTAGATATGTGCAAATTGGTAAAGGTATGAGGAATATAATATTAACAATACAAATAACTAATAACTAATAAGAATGCTTAGAAAAAATAATTAAAAGTATTCATTTTTTTTTTAGGATACTAGAATAGTATTTAATTGTCTTGAGACATTATATGTTTATTTTTCACACCCTGCTAATGATGCAAAATTTACCGAGATTCAAGTAAAATTAGATATCAAAAACACTTCCCTGACTCGTTTAAGTGATACACGTTGGAATTGTCGTGTAAGAAACTGTGTTGCTGTAAAATTAAACTTTAAAGCTATAGTTACATTGTTAAATGATGAAATCAATTCTTCCACAAATAAAGATGTACAAGCAATGGGTAAGAATAATACATTGATTTTACTTGAATTATAACTATTGTAAAATATAAAATATAGATATTAAAACTATAATTTATTACTTTATAGGCATTATGACACTTATTAATAAACCATNATTGTCGTGTAAGAAACTGTGTTGCTGTAAAATTAAACTTTAAAGCTATAGTTACATTGTTAAATGAAATCAATTCTTCCACAAATAAAGATGTTGTACAAGCAATGGGTAAGAATAATACATTCATTTTACTTGAATTATAACTATTGTAAAATATAAAATATAAATATTAAAACTATAATTTATTACTTTATAGGCATTATGACAATTATTAATAAACCATCATTTATTGTGAATTTCTTAATTTTGGAAGAAATATTACAAATTATTGTTAAATGATGAAATCAATTCTTCCACAAATAAAGATGTTGTACAAGCAATGGGTAAGAATAATACATTGATTTTACTTGAATTATAACTATTGTAAAATATAAAATATAGATATTAAAACTATAATTTATTACTTTATAGGCATTATAACAATTATTAATAAACCATCATTTATTGTGAATCTTAATTTTGGAAGAAATATTACAAATTATAAATATATTATCTACTTAGCTTCAAAAAAAAAGATGCAACATTAGGAAGCGCTGCTACTTTATTTGAAGGAATCATTAAAACCTTTGAGTCCTTACGCACGGAAGTTGAATTTCATAATATATGGGAAAAGATAATCAATTTTACCAAAATCAATAATATAATAACAGATTTCCCAGGTAATAAAATTATAGTTTGTCCTACACTTATTCTATAAATTATAAAAATGAAGAGTTGTTATTAATTGGTCAGGACAAATATAAATGTGACATGTCTTATCATTAAGAATTTGCTATTTTATGATTTTTGAGTAGTTTAATTTTTATAAGTTAATTATTGTTACTGTCTTACTAATTACTGTATTATATTATAAATACCTAGGTATCTATCTGGAAGTATATAGTATTTTAATGTTTTATCTCATGTATTATTTATTAAAATAGGTCCCAACAGTAACACAAATAAACGTCAACTCCAATCAACAAGTAATTTAGAACATTTTCATGTTTTTGCAACTACAAGTTCTGAGCAACAAAATCAAAATGAGTTTAATCAATTTAAAGAAAGTTATTGGAGGACTCATTATTATCAAATTATAGACACTTTAATAATAAATTTTAATAAGAGGTTTTCATCTGATACCTTGGAATTGGCAACATCTATTGATTACTTTCATAAAATGAATTATTATGAGAGTCAACGTTTTATCGAACAGTACAAAGTATAGTTTTTATATTATATTACACAAAAAAACTCATACCAGATGCATGGCAAGAAGAATGGGCAAGAAAAACACCTGGGGAAGGTGCACACCTCGAGAGCCCACATAACCTAATAGCCGGAATGAACCAATCGAGGAAAATATGGACCAGACTAAATCGCACAAGAACTANCGAGAGCCCACATAACCACCTCGAGAGCCCACATAACCTAATAGCCGGAATGAACCAATCGAGGAAAATATGGACCAGACTAAATCGCACAAGAACTAGACAAGGGAGATGTAAGGATTAATGCATCAATGAAAACTGAAAGACGACCCAAATTGTGATTGCGGAGAAGGTGTNTCTTATCATTAAGAATTTGCTATTTTATGATTTTTGAGTAGTTTAATTTGTATAAGTTAATTATTGTTACTGTCTTACTAACTACTGTATTATATTATAAATACCTAGGTATCTATCTGGACGTATATAGTATTTTAATGTTTTATCTTTATTATTTATTAAAATAGGTCCAAACAGTAACACAAATAAACGTCAACGCCAATCAACAAGTAATTTAGAACATTTTCATGTTTTTGCATGATTCCTTCTTATCAATTTTTCTCAATATATTAGTTTGATCCAAATATAAAATACCAGGAAAGAAAGTTTGTAACTTTGAAATACTAATTGTAAATGTACTACTGATAAATATATTGTATATTATTTTAAACTTTTACAGTAGAACAATACTCAATTTCATCTAAAAACCAAAAATATAAAAATTATTATGCGAGTTTAATATCATACCAAAATTCAATTCATGTCGGTGATTGTTTTTTTTACATAGGACTAGGTATATATCATAATTTTAATAATGATTAACTAGTTATATCACAATTTAATATTATAAAATATATTTTTTCAAAAAAAGTCCGAGGGCCAAATTTTAAGTGTCCTCTTTTTTACTTATACACTAAAAACTGAAGAAAAAATGAAGGCAAAGATACATAAAACATCTATTTATCTAAAATATTCTAAATGACATAATATATTATGAAATTACTTTCATTATAATTACTATTATCAAAATTATTTATAAAAATATAAAAAAAGTAGTTGTTTATTTCACTTATTATTACTACAAAATTATCATTGAAAAAATGTGATGAACATTAACTTTAAAAAATAATTAGAATTAAAATCTAAGAATATCTTGATTATTTGTTTATTTTTTTTTTTTTGAGCTGCACTTGAAACTTGACATCTTTTCTTTTGTACCAAGCTGTCTATATTTGCACAAGAATTTCTTGATGCCAAATGTAAAACAGATTGTAATTTGACATTTGCAATTTGATTGCGACTTTTTCATTTGTTTAATTTCATGAGAGAAAATTGTTCACATACATAAAAGCTACCGAACATGGATAAAATGTTAGAAAAGTATTTCTTTAGTTTTGAATAACTGTTTCCAAGATATTTAAAAATTTCTAGAACTCCAACAGCTTCAAATTTTGATTTTAAAACAGAATTACATTGCAAATCAATTAACTTGAGTTGTAAATCTTCCCTCACATGCTCTGTATTTATAAAAAATGGCTCACTAAAAAGTAGAAAACCATCTTTATACTTTTGAAAATCTGTAAATCTATTTATAAATTCATTTTTTAGTAATAAAATGTATGAAATGTATCTTTTATTATCATTACTATCTGTGGATAACTGTTTTAATGTAGGAAAGTGTACCAAATTATTTAATGAAAGTTGAGTTTCCCATAATCGAAGTTTCATGGTAAATTAATGAATTGAGTCGTACATATTTGTGATAACTTTGTTTTTTCCTTGTAATTGTAGGTTGAGAATATTTAAATGTGTAGTAATATTAACAAGGAAAGCTAAATCTTTAATCCAATCATTATTAGTTAATTCTGAAACAATCTTATTTTTAGATTTCATAAAACAGTCTATTTATTTTAATAAATTGAAAAATCTTTGTAAAACTGCTCCATGACTTAACCATCTTACCTCACTGTAATATACTAAACAACCATACTTTGCATCCATTTCATTGAGTAGTGTACTAAATTGTCTATGATTCAATGCACGGGATCTAATCCAATTCACTGTTTTAATAACTATATCCATAACGTGTTCCATTTTAGTTTATTTTGAACATAAAGATTCTTGGTGGATTATACAATGAAGACTTTTCAAATCTACACCATAAGTCATAGCTTTTGATTTTAATCGAGAAACCAATCCTGCTTTTACACCTAACATTGCAGGATCTCCATTAGTTGTAATACTCGAAAAATTATTCCAATCTACTTCTAATTCATTAAGACACTTTTCAACACAGTCATATAAATCACTACTGGTTGTTGTATCAGTCATAGGAATCAAGCCCAAGAGTTCTTCAGTTACATCAAAATTATCGAAAACTCTGCGAATAAAAATAGCTAACTGGGCGGTATTGGTAATATTGGTACTCTCATCAACAGCAATAGAAAAATTTAAAAATCGTTAATTTTTTTCATGTAATTGTTGTTTAACATTGTTAGCCATTTCTTCAATTCTCTGAACAATAGTATTTCCACTTAAACTTATATTCATAAATGCTTGTTTCTTTTCGGGACATATTACTTCCACTGCACTAACTACACATTATTTAATAAATTCACCATCAGTAAAAGGTTTTGACGCACCTGCGATTTTTTCTGATATAACTTAACTACATTTAACAGAATCAATATTATCTCTTCTTATATTATAAAACAATTTTGTTTGATGCGAGAGTTTTTTTTTTTAATTCTTCAAATTTTTCTTCGCGTAATTTTCCTACAAATTTATCGTAAATCTTATCGTGATTTGCATCATAATGTGTTTTAATGTTGTACTCCTTCATGACAGATACTTTGTTTACAGATCAAACATATTGGAAGAGAATTAGAATTAATAAAAAAGTATGCATGGCCCCATTTTTCTTGAAAAGCCCGTCTTGATCAATTTTACCTTTCATCGGTTTGATATGAGACATTTAAACGAACAAATTAGGCGTATTAACTTAAATTTAAAATTACACTTGAATAGCAACTAGTTACTAATATGAACAAAACAACACTGGTCACAATCAAACTGTTACCCACTATTCCTGCACTAACGCCGAAATACAAATTATATTTATCTTTGTAGATTAGATTTACCGCATTTCAAATACTTTATCGAGTATAATGGGATTTATGAACGATTAATATAAAAATAAAACAGTATGGACGTCAGATAATATTCTATGTATTTATAATGCCTAAAATAAAATTAACGTTTTTCTAATTTTTTCGTATATTTTTGTTCAAAATGTATTTTTATTGCGGGCCACATGGAAAGGGTACGCGGGCCACATGTGGCCCGCGCGCCGTATGTTTTAGACCACTGTATTAAATTAATAATTTTTTTGTGCTCTCGTGTTTTCCAATTATTTGTTATATCAGTTAATTATTTAAAGCAATTGAGTAATTCTATATTAGAATTTTTAAATTCAGAGTATATTATTTATTTTATAATGGACCAATTTCGTTTATCTAGTCCAGTTGCTATTGTAGGAATAGCTACTTTATGGTCGTGTAATTTAATCATGGTTTTGTGTAGACTTCCCAGTGCAATATTTTTATCTGTATGTGTCGGTTTGTGAAAATTGTTTTGTTATAAATTGTCCGATTTTCTATATTAATAAGAACCTATTCTTGGTTTTAGTTTCGATAATTGGGGATCCAACTTCGTTTTTTATATGTGCCACTAATCCTTTACTCATTTTTAAATCCGCTGAGATGTAATGGGCTATTAAGTGTGATGAATTTACTGCAAACAAATCTAAAACCTCCTCTTTGATTCCGTTCACATAATAAATCAAATTTTGTGTAACTGCTGTATGTTTTTATAGACAGTAAGTTGTTTAGTACTAATATTTTGTTTTCGAAATTTATTTGCACCTTTTGTTTGAAAACAAAATCGTTATCTATGGTAAATGCACAAGATAGATTTTTTACTACATAAGTTAATCAATTGAATGTTTGATAATTGATGGTAACATTTACCATAGTTGAGCCAAGTAAAGTTAGAGGTTCATTGTTTGCCCCTGTTAATACTATTGGTGTCTTTTCTATGTGTTTATTAGAGACAAGTGTATGTCTAATGCAACAAATGTTAGCGCCATTGTCAATGGTTAATAATATTTTTGTGTTATCTAAGTACGCGTAGATGTGTAGTGATTCTGTTAATATATTTATTCTACGATTTATTATGTTATTATCTATTTTTCTATTAGTTTTAGACAGCAAAGAAGAGGAACGGTTTTTGTCAATGCGGCCGTTTAACTTATTCGTTTTCGTTATTCGTTTTTTGATTGGTTAAAATATTGTCTATATTCACGAGCAATATGTTCTATTCTACTGCATAATTGACATATCGGTGGATTTTCAGGGAAAGTTTCTATTGTGTGATTATATAGTTTACAGTTTTTGCATTGAATACTTGGTGTTTGAAATTTAAAATTATTTTATTTAAATAGCTTTTGTTGTGGAGGAGAACTGTATGGTTATTGGTATTTCTAAAATATTGAGTATTTTTAGGTTGTGGAGTGCTCTGTGATTTTAACTGTTCGCTAAGAATATCAAATTTATCATTAAATTGGTTAGTAATTTTATTAATATTTTCGGTCATAGTGGAATTTTGTAAATCTTTCGTAAGTTTTTCATTATTTTCTTTCAATGTTTTTATTGTTTCGTTAATTTTGTAAATTTGTTCTCTAAATATTGACTCGGTCGTTTCTAGTGGTGATTGATTAGTTAGACCACCAGTCATGGCTTCAACTTTTTCGTGTTTTCGAATATTACACTTGAGATCTACAGTATTATTGTCTATGAGACCTATGTACCTAATGATGTGTGGTTTAAAGCCCTTCATAATATTACGTATTATTTCCTGTTTGGTCATTAAGGGATCAACGCGTTTCCATAAGGATTCCGTGTCAGTTATATACGTCATAGGGTTTTCGTCATCAAATTGTTTCCGTTTTTCTAATAGGGAGCAAAGAATATCAATTTGGGCGGAGGGTTCAAATTAAATTCTAAAATAGTTTTCTAGATCTGACCAATTATTTTTAATGTTGTTAGAATTTTATATATTTTCATACGTTTTTAATGCAGTGCCCTCTAGAAAACCCGGGAATTATCGGGTTTGTCTTCGTCAGACCAGTCATTCATTGACGCACACATGTTGTATTTGTTTATAAAAGAGTCAAAATTCTTCGAAATTAGTCCAGAAAATGTTACGGGTTTAAAATATGGCTTTTTACTGGCCATTATTGTAGTTTTTTCCAGCTTGTTTGTTTGGTGAGAGGTAGGTGTTTTGTGATTTAAAGTCAGTAAGTATAAATTCGCCAGAAAGATATTCTAATAGTCTAGTTTTTAATTTGGATAACGTTCCTACAATAATCAAACGTCTTTTGGTTAATTCTGTTTCTATCTGATCTTGTTCTAATTTAGAGACGTTATATGCTACATTCGTAAAAAATGGATTATTTTGATCCATTTTTATGAATAGGTACCAAAAAAAATTGAATTAAACAAAAGAAAAAAATGTTGTAAAAACGTGAATAACAGGGTACAAAGTAATTGAATGTACACCCACTAACCACTTAGATTACTTATTACAGCCTACGACGGTAAGAAACAATTAATATAAAATATAAACTATGAAGAGTAACAATAATATTCTTACCTATCCTGAACGAAATACCCTCAGCAACAATGTTGATTTTGAACACAGGTATAATTATATTTATTTATTATGTAAATAAGAATAGGTAGTAGAAATGATAAAATAAACACTTGATTTAATTAAAAAAATGATGATGTCAGAATGTTAGACGCCGAGACAACACGCACTCGCGGGAAGACGAAAAAGATGACAGGTCGCCAAGGCAGGATGCGGCCGCTGAATGAGTCGAGAAGAAAAAAGGGGGGAATTGTTGAGTGCTGTTGTCCGGTCTTCAGTATCATGTCTTATTATTATTTCGAAATATTTAACTGTTATACATACTATTTTGTATTAAATCTAAATTGACTTACTAACTGATAAAATAAAGTGGTGTCCACTATAATAAAATGTACTGTAGATAATACTAATGTTATATAATATTATATTGTGATATAACTAGTTGACCAATATTAAGATTATGATATATACCATATTGTATATATCATTACAGTATATTCCATATTATATTATAAACATGTATTTTAATAAGAACACACATATGTCTAATATATTTTAATTGTAATGCTTTTATTATTTATCCATTTTACAAAATAAAAATATTTACTTGAATATTTAAGTATATAACAATTGTATAAATTAATCAAAGAGACAGCTTTATAGAAAAATTTATTCCTATTAGGTATATTACGTTTTTAAAGCTATTTTTTATCTTTAGTTATAGGTATTTCATTTAAACTTAAAATAAATTGATGGAAAACGGTGATGGTGAATTGATGATCCAAAAAGTAACAGTCTTGAAAAAGTAAATGTAACTAAAGAAGATAAAGAGAAGAAAAGCATTGTCACTCCTAAAAGTACCAGTCTCAGCAAAGGAAGTGTAAGTACAGTGGAAATAAAGAAAAAGTTAATTAATGCTCGCGACAGTAAAAATCTTGAAAAAGTAAATGTAACTAAAGAAGATTAAGAGAAGAAAAGCATTGTCACTCCTCAAAGTATCAGTCTCAGCAAAGGAAGTG